CTAGACATTACTGGGCCTACCGACATTCAGTTCCTCTCTCTTGGGCCCAGAGATGACACTTTCTAGCCCTTCTGCAATTGGGCCAGTGTGACTGGTTCTGACCAAGGGAACATGAATGGAAGTGACATGCAGCACTTGCACATGTTCCAAATGGTGTGGCGTTTGCCACTCTGGTCTCCTGAGTAGATAGAGCAGATTCCCCACAACCCTACCAACCCACAGTGGACATGTGGTATGAGAGAAATAAACATCTGTTCAGCCACTGAGATTTGATACCGAAATCTGTTGCCATGGCACCATCTCATTCATCCTGATAGGATACGCCATTAAGAGGGGTGCTAGGCCTTAGTTAACTGTCTCCCCCTAACTTCATTCAGTCACATTCCACTGTCAACTTTTTGCCATAGATGTGCACCACCAGTATTCTCCTTTAAATCAGCTTACCTTTTTACAAAAAAACAAAACAAAACTTAAGTCAATATAAAGAGGACTTTCTCCCACTACTATGAGCAGGAAACTAGTATTCTTGTCACTGAAGGGAAAAAGGAGGGAAGGAATTAAATACCAAGAGAGTAAAATGTACATATTACTGAATGCTAATTAAAAATATTACCTGAGCCCGAGGCCTGTCTGTAATTAGAGGCGTGAAGTTCATGCTGCCTGTGCTCTCTCCTTGGTTACTTCGGCTTACGCAGAATTGAAAAGCATTGTCTGGTGACACATCCGAGGACCAGCTGAAATTGTGTGCTTCCCCAGAGGTCTGTACCCTGCCTAGTCTATGGGAAAACACACTCAGCTGCTTCCTCTGACTGGGCAACACTCACCATCCTGAGCCCTCCCCCACAAGAACGTGAGCGCCTGCCAGGCAGGAACTCTGATGCCTGGCATCTGGCTGGGTGTGTGGCACCAGGCTGAGAGAAGCAACCAACAGTTTCAGATTCAGAATTTTAATCAGAGAACCAACCAACATGCACATATGAAAGACATTTCTACCCTGACCCATAGCAACAGATAATTACAGAGATTGCCCCCCTCAATACCAAAGGCTACCAAATTTCCAGGGAGCCTGCAGTCTCTATCATTGGTGTAAAAACTCTCAATGAACACACGTATCAATTGCTTTCCTGCCCTGCAGTACTTTGTACACCCCTTTCGTATATAACATGCTCACCTCCTAGACCAGACGGAGGTGCAGAGGGCAGAGTCTATGTGCAGGGAGTTAAATGTTTTGGCCATTTGAAAAACAGTATGTCTAGGAGGTTCTGATGCTGAAAAAGAATAGAAAAAAAGAAAAACAGTATGTGCCCCATTGTGGTGTGGGCCCAATGGTCAGCCAAAAGAAGGTTCCCAGTTTCAAGTACAAAACCAACAGAACTCAAGGTGCGAGGTTCACAGTCCAAGGGTACAGAGCAATGACCCCCAAACTCAAACTATTTTAAGCACTGAAAATACGAAAGGTATTGCAAGTATGAGGGCCCAACGTTTTCCTAAGGTTCTGTCATGCCTCAGCAAACATGCGACTGGGCCACTTGGTGGGTGGGGCACAAAATCCCAGAGCTGACACGGCACTGTCAAGAGGGAGCCTGTCGTGTGTTTCCATCTCTTTGGGCTCTCCAGCAATTCTTGGTGGTCCCACAATTTCCTGACATGAGGCAATGTGGCATTTTTAAGATGTCACTTGTCAACTAACAGCAATCTTCCATGAAAATGGGGCGATTCATTTCCCTTTCTGATTCCAGAAGCTTCAGAGCAGGGGCAGGGCTTATTGTATTGGTTTTACTCACCAGAGCCTAGCAAATTGCCTGGTGAGTAGGAAAAATGGTGCACGACAAACATTGCAGCAACCACTTCTGCACAACACAATTTTCACGCCCCTCCCCCGGCACGTCTTCCCTATGTGTTTCGTGTGTGGCAACATCTTGATCAATGCAGCCTTCCTGACCGAATCCAGCTGTTTTCAGTTATCATTAACTTCCACGGCAAATTTGGTCTCGCATGGTATAACTAACCACTTTTAATGGAGGAGGATTATGGGATGAGGCAGCATGTGGGAAGGGGAGTCCTTTGAGTGACAGGCTTGGGAGGTTGGGAGTGGAAAGTTTTAGCTCAGGTTAGGTGTTTACATGCTCTTCTTGGCTTTCTTTCAGTTAAGAAAAAACTATGACAGAGCAGAGAAATGGAAGGCCAGAAAAGACCAGACATCTTAAAAGAGTAAGATGTTAGAAACTTTTTAAAAGTAAAATTTTAATTAAAAGCAGTAACATTGTAAGAACATTAACTGCAGTAAACAGAGACAAGTTACTAATTCTTTTCTTCTTTTAATATAAAAGAGTATATTTGTATTAGAGCTGACATATATTTGCAGCTTACACTAGATAAGTACTTAATATGCTGGGTATGAGTTCTAAGTGCTTCACAGTTGTTTAATCCTCACAACAGCCCTCTGAGGTAGTAAATTTTATCATGCCCGTTTTACAGATGAGGACACGGAGGTCCCGAGAGATTTTACAACTTTCGCAAGGTCACTTAGGTAGTAGACAGCAGAGGTGGGATTTAACTCAGGCAGACTGGCTCCAGCGTCTACCTCTAAATCCCACTGTTGTACAGCTTCTCAATTTTTGTTTTTATTATTTTAATGACACTGATGTGTGCAAACTTTCTAATCAATCTTTATTAATAAAGAGATTTATTTGGAGGGAGCTTGCAATGTGATGGTTTCGACTTTTGATGTCAGATGAACATGGTCTCAGATGTCTGGGACTCTGCTGCCACCCAGTGGCAGCAGGCAGCGTAGCTGCTTGTTACCTGTGTACTCGCTGATGGCGTCTGAGACTTGAGCAGCACCCAAAGGCTTTCTGACAATGTGGACATTGATAAGGTTTCTCCTGGGTGTGACTTCTCTGGTGCTGACTGAGATGGGCGCTGAGGCCAAAGGCTTTGCCACACACATTGCAGGTGTAAGGCTTCTCCCCCGTGTGAATTCTCTCATGCTGTGTTAGATTTGCTTTCTGGGCAAAGGCTTTCCCACATATGCTACACACATAGGGCTTCTCCCCGGTATGAACTCTCTGGTGAGTAACAAGGCATGAGCTCTGGCTGAAGCCTTTCCCACATTCCTGACAAACATAAGGCTTTTCTCCAGTGTGAACTCGCCGGTGGCGGATGAGTTTAGCGCCTAGGTTAAAGGCTTTCCCACAGTCGCCACATTCGTAGGGCTTCTCCCCCGTGTGAACTCTGTGATGCTTAGATAGGCATGAGCTCTGGCGGAATGTCTTCCCACATTCTTTACACTCAAGGGGCTTCTTTCTAGCATGAGTTCTCTGGTGCTGAATAAGGTAATTGCTGTGGGTGAAGACTCTGTCACACTTGTTACATTTAAAGGGTTTCTGTCCAGTGTGAACTAACAGATGCTCTGAGATGCATGCACTTTGGCTAAAGGTTTTCTCACATTTGTTACACTTAAAGCACTTCTCACCAAGCCTTAGATGCTCTCCCTGTTCCGGGTTCTGATCCAAGATCTTCCTGCTCACATCAAATCCTTGTTTTTCTCTGGTGTGAACACTCTCGTGGTAATTCAGGGTTGAGCTGCAAGTGAAGCGTTCTCCACACTCCTGACATTCATAGGGGGTTTCGATGGTGTGGATTTTCTGGTGTTGCACAAGGTGTTCATTATCGCTAAAGGTCTTCTTGCATTCAGCACAGCTGTAGGGCTTTTCTGTGGTGTGAATGGACTGATGTCGAATCAGGCGTGAGGGCCGGTCAAAACACTTGACACATTCCTGACATCTGTGGGGTCGGTGGCCTGTATGAATTCGCTGATGTTCACTAAGGTGAGTGTTTCGGCAGAAGGTTTTCCCACACTCACCACATTTGTAAGGCTTCTCTCCACTGTGAACCCTCTGATGGATCTTCAGGGTAGAGGTATGGCTGAAGGGTTTGCCACATTCATTGCACTTATAGGGTTTCTCTCCAGTATGAACAGCCTGGTGCTCGACGAGCAGGGAACTCCGCCTGAAGGCCTTCCCACACTCCTGACACTCGGAGGTAGTTTCAACAGCATGAGTTTTCTCATGTCGGATGAAATGTTTCCTCAAGTTGAAGGTCGCCTGGCATTTGGCACATTCATAGCGTTTCCCAGCGTGGGTCTTCTGGTGCTGAGTGAGATGAAAGGTCCGGTTGAAAGCCTTGCCACATTCATTACATTTAAAGAACCTACCACCTATGTAAGTTTTCTTAGGCTTAACGGGCCGTGGGCCATGACTGGACTGGTCACCACCTTGATTCTTACGTGGTTTTCTTACAGTGTGAGTTTTCTGATGCCGTAGAAGGTGAGTATTCTGACTAAAAGTTTTCCCACATTCATTACACACAAATGATTTGTAGCCAATGGGAGTCATCAGATACACAAAAAGGCAAGAACTCTGGTTGAAACCTCGCTCACACTCCTGACGCACAGCAGGCTGCTCCCCAGCATGAAGAATCCAGTGCTGGGTAAGATGGTAACTCTGGCTGAAACTTTCCCCACATTCGCTACACATATACGGTTTCTCCCCTCCCTGGACAGAATCTTGCTGGCTCTGGTCTGAGCAGTAGCCAAAGTTACTCATATATTCCTTAGACTTAGCTGGTGTGAGGCTCTTTTCAGGAAGATCATGCACCACAGAGTTCTCTCCTGTGGAAAACAGGGACGCAGGACTGAGGCCTCTCTTGAATTCGGGACTCTTGCATTCTGTGGGACTTCCCTTGTTGGTGATAACGTCAGACCTCAGGGGACTTTCTGGATCTCCCAGCAAACTGTCTAACCAGCTCTCGCCTATACAATCTTCTCCAAAATTGGAGTTCCAAAGGCCATCCTTGGACAACGTCTCCATAATCTCCTGGTAGAGTCCTTCTTCCAAGAAATCGTGCTGCAGAGGAGAGTTCTTGGTCTCAACCATGTCTGAAAGAGAAAGTACAAATGTCTCCTGTTCCCAAAAGAGGAAAGACAGGAGCTGTGGGGTGAGAACACAGACAAGAGGGAATGGGAGTGGTGGATCTTGAGTCCAGCCTGTCTGTCAAGGGCCCCAAAGCAGTGACCTGTCTGGAACTGGCATCACGGGAAACAGAGAACCCACTCCCAGGAGGGGAACTGGGAAACCACAGGAGTTCGACAGGGCACAAAAACCTCTACCATCACCCTCACACCTACCTGACAAAGTTCCCGAAAAAGTCTCCCAGACTCACCTCCTTCTCCCCTGCACTCTACCCTGCACTGTCACCAAAATCTTGCTCCTCATATGCTGCATCCTCCATCTTGGAAGACCCCACCACCACCCATCCGGTCCTCCATGCCAGAACCCTAGTAGTAAACCTCCCCCCCTTCCCAACTCAGGCATTACTTCCTGTCTGGTCTCCTTCGAAATGCCTCAACTACCTTCCTCTTCTCTCTACCGACTCCATCTGACCCCAGGCTCCTTGTTGGCCTCTCCTTTCTCTTTCCAGTCTTCCACATTAATCCTGAAGGGCTTTATAATAAACAGATCCGACTACATCACTCCCCTGATTTAACCCTCCCATGGCTTCTTGCTTGCAGAAGAGAAATGCGACTGTATTAGCCCAGCGTTCTTTGTGCTGGCCACACAGAACTCCTGTGATTCCCTGAATCTACCAGACTTTCTCGCCTGTGCCTTGACTGGTCCCTCATGCTGGACTACACTTCCCGAGCTAACTCCTCTATGTCATTTAACACTGAGCTTGAGTATCGCCCTCCTTGGAAAGCCTTCTCTGACAACCCCACACCCTGTTCTGCTTTAAGTGCCCTGCCTTGTAGTCTCTGAACAACGGCCAAGCACTTACTTTTCTTTACTGTAACTGGTTATGAGTGGGTCTGACCCCTGACCAGAAAGCAAGCTCTTTGATGGGGACCCTTCGTTGCTTATCTGTCTTCAGTGCCAGTGGGCCAGGCCTGCCACACAGAAAAGGCTCACGGGACAGAGTAACTCCCACTTATGGCACACTTGCTCTCGGGCAGAAGTGCCTCAGTTACTCCCCACAGCCCCCTGTAAGGTGAGTACACTTCTCCCTTCTTACAGCCAAGAGCAGTGGAGCGAGGATCTGAACCCGTCTGACCCCACACCCTCAATAACCAAGCCGTGTGCTCTCTGGGATCCTTCGTAAAGCATGAACTTCGCTGCTCTACCCGTCCTCCAGTCTCCCCACCTCCTCTCCTCCATCTTGCACCATCATCACATCTTTTCAAGCCTGTTTCTTTTCCTGAGATTTACTGGCTCACTGGCTTAATTTCTCTCAGCCCGCAGTTGAAACTTGCCTTCCAAAACCACGTCACTCTTGCCTCTGCTCTTGTGTCCCACAATCTCTGGCTCATTCTCCTGACCACACCTTTGCTCATGCTGCTCCCCCTGCCTGGAATGCACTGACAGACGTGTGTGTACACATGTGTGCACATGTGTGTATGCTTAAGGTGTTAACACATGTACCAGAATCCAGCCCAAAGCGAGCAAAGTAGGTACTCAAAATTATTTGTTGGCTGATGATTTTACATGTTAAGAATACTTTTTTTCCCCAGCTAGCTTGTCAGATGTTTAACTTTTCTAACTTAATAGGACTGTAGGTATTCAACCCAAAAAGAAAAATTTTCTCCAAGATAATAGCTCTTCAACTGACAACTCAATCTGATAGGTTAACATTCTATCGTAACAGGCACCTCTTACATACACAACACGGTGTTAGTACTGGGGAATACAGGATGAATCAGCTAAGCTCTACTGCCTAGAGGGGTGCACTGTTAAAGGAGGAAAGACAAAAATGAAAACAAAGCAACACAAGTGTTACTATTGGAGGTTAGTAAAGGCATGGCTGCCTGTTTGGAAATAGCCAATAGGTGGCAAAAACAGAAAACAGACGTTGCAAGAGCCTGTGCCTGGGTTAGTCACCTACATGGAACACTGGTGTGCTGAAGAGGAGGCTGCAGAGGGCCCACATTCATGAGCTCATGGGCGCTGAGCCAAGAAGGGAGCTGCAGACTCACTGACTGGGGTGCAGCCTAAGACTCCTGTGGTCTCTGATTCAGGGCCCTTCTTCCCATGTAGATAAAATAACAACGAGAGAAGGTTCCGATGCCCAGGTAAGGCACCTGCCGCTGCTTTCTCCCACTTGGGGAATACCCTGGGAATACTCATTGCCTAACCTCATCCACCCAGAGGAACCCTGGCCTAGGAGATGGCAGAGTGGATGCTCTTGGTGGCATTCAGGCCTGGACTTGAGCTACTACCAGATGTGGCCATATGCTGTGCCCTGGCCTATACAAAGGGGGTAAAAGGGGTAGACAGGGGGTCGGTACACATGCTCAGGGAGCACAAGGCTGGAAGGCAGAAAGACCGACTCAGGGAGTGAAGGCCTCCCATTGCTGAATCCAGAAGGAAAGAGGAGACACAAGACAGCCCTGTGCTGAACGCCCAGGTAGATGAAGACATGGTGACATGCCAGAGTGAGGGTCCATCCAAATATCCCGATCCACACCGAGCCCCCGGGACAAGGGGATGGAAGCCAGCAAATGGCAGTGAAGCCCAGAAGCCAGGCATGGGGACATCTGGGTAGATCTTCTGGGGGACTGGCCACAGCCTTTGGACGGAGGTCCTGAGGACAAAGGGTAAACGCAAGGGTCCCCCCATTCCATTCACTCACCAGGGCCCGCTGCTTCTGGGCTTCCTCTCACCAGGGCCTCCACCTCTCCCGTGCCATCCAGGTGGGAGGTCAGGTTGGGGCTTAGGGGGTCTGCAAGGAGAGAAGAGCACTGTCATCCAATCAGGCCTGCTGGCAAGGCTGGATTTCAGAAGGGTGCCCAGCATCACCAGAACTGATGAGAGGGGCTCACTGGGCCTAAACTGCACAAACACTGGTTTACACTGAGCATCTGCTTCCCTTCTGAGAGTCTAGAATTTTGGTACATGCCAGGCAAGAGGGGCCATGTGACCAGCTCCCAGTTAAAATCCTGGCACTGAACTCTTACGAGCTTCCCTGGTGGACAGCGTTTCACATGCTGTCACACCTCACTGCCAGGGAAATTAAGTTCATCCCACGTGATTCTACAGAGAGAAACTTGTGTCTGGCTTCCCTGGACTTCATTCCACGTACCTTCTTCCCAGGTAGTGACAATCAATAATGTCTCTAGACATTGCCAATGTCCCCTTAGCCAGCTGAGAACTGCTGGGCGAGGTCATGCTGATTCTAAGCAGCTTAGGAGCTGAGATTTCATCCTATGGGTGATGGGAAGCGTAAGTGATCACCAAGCAGGGCAGCGACTGGGGCCCTGGGATGGGCAGCACTCACTCTGCAGGAAGACATCCTGGTAGTTGTCCAGTGCTGTGTCCCAGAACAGGGCCCCCCGGTCCAGCCCCAGCTCCTCCAAACCTTCCAAGGTGAAGTCCATGGCCACGTCCTTGAGGGTCACAAATTCCTAAAACACAACACAATGCTGGTCACCCGGGGGAGCTCACTCAAAGTAATCCCAGCCCGCGATTTTCTAGGCTTTTGGCAAAAACCATCCTGTTCTCAGCCTCACAGGAAGAACCTTGAGATGGAAGAAATTGGAAACCTCCATATTGTGTAGGTAAGGAAACAAATCAACTCACAGTCACACAGGTAGCAATTAAATCCAGGTATGCCTGATCCTAAAATCCATGTATTTCTTGCTTTTGCTTTTTTGTGTATGTGTGTTCATTCGAGATTTTAAGTTATACTTATCATGGAAATTTTCAAACACATGTACAAGTAGAGAAATGCATGTAACTAACTCCTATGGACCCATCACCCAGGGATCATCTGCTTTCACCTGTGACTACTTCAGTATGAACAGTAACTCCTTAATAACACTGAATACCCAGACCATGTTCAAAGTCTGCACACAGATTTGTCTGACATCTCAATGCTGTGTTTTTGTAGCTAGTTTGTTTGATTCAGAATCCGAGGAGACCCATACCCTGCCTTTGGCTGATACGACTCTCAAGGTTTTTAATCTGTAGCTGTACTCCTGTGCCCTCTTTACACGCAGTACAGGTGCCTGATTTAAGGTCCCACATTCTGGATGTGGCAGACTGCTTCCTCATGGTGTCACCCGGCTGTTCCTCTGGCCCCTGCATTTTCCATAAACTGGTTAGTAGAGCAGAGGCCTGACTAGAGTCGGTACAGCTTTTGGGGGCAAGACCCCCTTACAGGTGGTGCCAGGTCCACTTCAGGCCACGTGACTACTTAAGGCTCATGTCCAGCCGTCCAATTTTTAGTGATGCCATCTTTCTTCATTTGAAAACTTCATAGTTAATAGGTGTTTAGAATAAAAATTCAAATACTCAAGAAGTAATGACAGCCTGCTCCCACACACTCTATCTCTAGGTGAAACTGTGACTTTCTGGTGTGTCACATCCGGACCCCCCGCCCCCCAAAACATATACATAGGTACACACTCACGTGCACACACACAGGCACGTTTTAGAGAAGAATGGAAACCAACTCTCTAGTCTGGATTCGAGGCTTGGCCCCTCTACCTTCCCCTGCGGTTGACTGTTGGTAAGTAAGTTGCGTGCCCCTCGTGAGCCCTATTTCATTTCATTCCAGCTTACGCTGTCCGTCCCAACCCTCCAGGTGCCCGACTACAAAGGCCCTCCTTTGATCAAGACCTTCCTTTATGCTGGGCATGGACTCAACTCTGTAGGTGCAGTGAGTCACTGAACTGCCTGACTTCTCTTTGAGGCAAGATTATCCCTGATTTACAGAAGATAAGACTGAGACCCAGAGAATCAAAGTCACTCGCCCAAAGTCACACTGTGTATTAGTCCCTTTGCTGCTGCTATAACAGAATACCTGAGACTGGGTAATTTATAAAGAAAAGAAATTTATTTCCTACAGTTCTGGAAGCCGGAAAGTCCAAGGCCGAAGGACTGCATCTGGTGAGGGCCTTCTTGGTGGTGGGGACTCTGCAGAGTCCTAAGGTAGCACAGGGTGTCACATAATGAGGGGGCGAGAGCATGCCAAACTGGCTGTTGTAACAGATTCATTCTCGTGCTAAGTAACCAACTCCTGTGATAATCCATTACCTCTTAAAGGTCCCACCTCTTAATACTGTTACATCAGGAATTGAGTTTTGACATGAGTTTCTGAGGAGATAAACGTTCAAACCACAGCACAGTAAGTAGGTGGTAAAGGAGCGCAACCCACGATCTGCTATGAGACCCCCAGCAAGCCGACCAGTTAGGGGCGTGGCTTTGGAGTCAGAGGGACCCCAGTTCAGATTCTGCATCTGTTAGCTGTGAGGCCTTGTTATTCCTCATCTCTAAACTAAGGCTGCTGTGAGGAGGAAGTGAGCTGATACCCGTACAGTGCTCAGCAGGGACCCAACCCACTAGGAAGCTGCTGAGCAAGTGGCGTCTGTTGTCCACCCATTTGTCCAATGATGACGGAGCAGCTACTATGAGCTGGCCCCTGAACAGGCACAGGATGCAGGAGAGAAGGAGGCAGCCCGTTCCTGTCCTCATGGATTTAGTCTGGGCATGTCACATTGACATTTATGAAAATGCTTTGTAAACTCTAAGAATATCAACCAACATACACACACACACACACACACACACACACACACACACACACAAGAACTGGTCATCTTCGAAGGATGACAGTCAGAAACCAACTCCTTATACTGGAAACTGAAATACAAAAGGAAAGAGTCAAGCATTTATCCCACCTGTCCCATATGAAGAATACCACTGCACAGCCAAATAGCAGACGAGGGGAGACATCTTTTTTAAAAAGCGTTCCAACTGATAAATGAAAAGAAATGATGGCACTAGAACGGCGCCATTTTGCAACCCCTAGTGAATGAACAGATGATAAGGCAGTAAACATCGGCATCTGCCAGGATAACACACATGGAGAACCAGACATTCTGGGACTCCTTCAAGTCTTGGCAAAAGGATTGGCCCTAAGTCTGATCAAGCCTCTGGATCCAGCTGCCAACTGGGAACAAACTGAACTGCACCAGGAGGATGGAACTGACGAAAATGGACTGAGAGAAATTCTATGGGTCAAACCGCCCTGGTTCTTCAAAGGACAAGCAGTTAAGAACAGAAGGGGATGGAGGAGGAATCTAGAAAGAGTTACAAAAAACATTTTTTAAAAAAGAGGCGGCAATGGGGACATGCATTTGGGTAATAAAACTATTATTTAAAAAACCCATAGGGAAGTAATAAATATAAAAATCATCCCTTATGAGGGATCGGGGGAGGCTCTGATGGGGTCCACAAAGGACTTCTGGAGTGAGTGGCAAAAAAAGTTCTCATTCTAGAACAAAGTGGTTATTTGTCTTCATTAGGTCATATATTTGATGCACGTTGGTTTCTCCTTCTGTGCTTTGTTTTACGACAAAAAGATTTTCTAAAAAATTAAGCATATACCAACCAGGATCCTCCTCTGGCTGCTTTGTGGAGAAAGACGGAAGGTGGGAAGGGCAGAAGCAGGGAGTCGAGGAGGAAGGCCAATTCGGTGATCTGGGTGAGAAATGATGGCAAGAGCGGAGGGAGTGAGAAGCGGTGAGAGATTCGATAGTCTGATGCTGGTGCTGACGAGACTTCCCGACAGGTACATGCAGGGTGTGAAAGACGGAGAGCAGCACAGGATGTCTCTAAGTTTTTAGCCTGAGCAGCTGGAAGAACAGAGTTGCCACTTACTGAAATGTGGCAGAAGCAGCTTTCAGGGCAGAAAGTCTGAGTCTGGTTTGGGATATGTAAAGTTTGAGATATCCTTTAGATTTCAGTAGGCTAAGAAATTCCCCCAGCCCCCACGAAGATGTCCACATCCTAATCACCACGAATGTTACCTTATATGGCAAAAGGGACTTTGCAGGTGTGAGTAAGGATCTTGAGATGGGGAAATGATCATGCACTATCTAGGCTGGCCCTAAATGTCAACAGTCCTTATAAGAGGGAGACAGGGAGTCACAGGTGGGAGAAGGCAATGCTATGACAGAAACAGAGATTGGAATGATGGAGCCAGGAGCCAATGAATACAAGCGGCCTCCAGAAGCTGGGAGAGACAAGGAACAGATTCTCCCCTAGAGTTTCCAGAAGGACCCAGCCCTCCTGACACCTTGTTTTGAGGCTCATCAAAACTAATTCTGGGCTTCCAACTTCAAAAACTGTAAGAGAATAAATCTGTGTTGCTTCTAAGCCACCAAGTTTGTGGTAATTTGTTACAGCAGCAATAAGACACTACTAACACAGTCATCCAAATGGTGATGTCAGGCAGGAGTTAGCTAGAGAAGACAGGGGGTCCTCTTTCTATGTATAGCACATCCTGCCCCTCCTCTGCTCCAAATCCTCCAATGCCCCCCGCCCCACTCACTCAGATTTAAAGACAGAGGCCATGCAATGGTCTCCGGGGCCCTGAGGATCTGGCCCTAGCTATCCCCTAGGCCTCACCTCCTCCCCTCCCTGCTTGTCCACTGTTTCCGCCATACTGGCTTCCTTGCTGTTCCCCAAACACACCTGCCTACTCCCCCTCAGAGTTCAAGAGTGTCTCCCTGGTTCACTGCTCAAACGCCTCTTCTCCAATGAAGCCTTCTCTGACCCCTCTGTATAAAGCAGTAAACCTGCCCTGGCCCTCCTATCCCCTTCCCTGCTTTATTTTCTCCACAGTTCTTAATACCGTCTGCATCCTATGTGATTTACTTATGTGTATTACTGTTTATTATGGGTTGAATTGTAACCCTAAAAAGATACGATGAAGTCCTAACCCCCAGTACCCCAGCATGTGCCCTTATTTAGAAATAGAGTCTTTACAGAGGTGACCAAGATGAGGCCATTAGTGTTGGCCCTAATCCATGACCGATGCTCTTATAAAAAGGGGAAACTGGGACACAGAGACAGATACATGCTGAGGAAAGACTGATGTGAAGATACAGAAAGAACACCATGTTAAGGCAAAGGCAGAGATCAGGGTGATGCTTCTACAAGTCAAGGAACACCACGTATCACCAGCAAACCACCAGAACCCAGGAGGAGGCAGGGAACAGATTCTCCTTCACGGCCCCTCAGAAGGAACCAGCCCTGCCGACAGCTTGATCTCAGACTTCTGGCCTCCAGTACTGTGAACAATAAATTTTTGTTGTCCAAGCCACCCAGATTATAGTGCATTGCTACGACAGCTCTAGCAAACTAATACAGTGTCACTCCCAATAACATGTGAGCTTCATAAAGGCAGGGGCCACATATGTTGGTTCCCTACTCCAGCCCCCAGAACAAAGCCCATATATAGTAGGCACACAATAAATATTTGTTGAATGAGGCAAGGAATCATGTAGTCCTGGTAGCTGTTTTGGGATAAGGGAAGGAGCTCATCAAGGATGGAGCCAATACTAGTTGGGGCTGAGAGATGGGGACAATAAACTGAGTCCCGATCACACTAGCAGATAAGCCAGCCCCACCTATGGACTTTCAGTTATGAGATCTATGCAGTCTGCTGACTATTTATGTTGGTACTTATAGCTGAAATTGTTGCTGTCATCCATGTTGAGAAGGATGAGCCAAAGAGGTTTTCTTCAGCAGGAACCAGACCACAGAGGGCCCTGAGGGCTTCCTTTCCTCAGACTCCCGGACTGTGCTGCGCATGGCCTCTGGTCATGGTCATGGCCACAGTGATTGGGATATGGCGGGAGAAAGGAGTGCAAACTTGATCCCCGAGGCACTGTGGAGCCACAGACGAGTTTTATACAGAGAGTAACAAGGTCAGAGCATGCACTCGACAATCATTTCTCCTATATGCCAGACCACGGTGTGGGTGCCAGAGACACAGACGTGTATCAGACTTGGTTCCCGACCTTGAGGAGCTCCTGGCCTGATGGAGACACACGGGATGCCGACACTGAGCATGAGACAGGGGGGCTGTGACAGAGGGAGGTAACAGGGGCTGTGTGGGCTGGGGAGGGAGGGAGGATGTTGCCCTGGGAATAGGGAAAGCCTACTGGAGGAGGACTTTCGAGTTGGATCATTAAGGACAGCAGATACTTATTTGGTAGAGAAATGGTTTCATGCATTCATTCACTCAACAAACACCTCACGAGGCTTCCTGTGTGCCAGGCGTGTGCTGGGCCTTGGGTACCCAGAGATGAATCCCAATCAGTTCCTGTCCTTGAGGAGCATCTACTCTGGTGGGGCTGACTGATATGCACAGAGATAACCAAATCTAGGTGGATTTGCACTACAATGGAGGCAACAGGGGTGCTATGGGAGGCCACAGCAGGTAAGAGTTGACTCTGCCTGGGAAAGTGAGGTGGGAGATACTAAGCTGGGTTTTGAAGGCTATTTTAAGACATTAGCAGACAGAAAAGGAGGGCAGGGTATTCTAGCAGAGGGTACAGCGAAGCAAAGGCCAGGAAGCTGGAATATACAGTGTAATATTTTACCACCAAGCCAAAGGAATGTATTGGTTGTCTGGGTAAATGGTAGAAGATGCCGAGGAGGTAGACGAAACCCAGATCACGTGGGAATGGGCTGAGAAACCTAGAATTTATCCTCTAAACAATAGGGAGATTCCTGGAAGGGTACCAAGCAAAAGGACAACAACATGAGAGTTTTATACTAAAAAGACTGCTCGGGAGCCACCATGGGACAGAAAACCCAGAACAAAGGAAGGGCAGTTTTCCTGCCTTTAGGGGTAATCAATTAAGATGGAGAGATCCTCAACTCACCTCAGTCATAGCGTGGGGGTCAACTGGGTCCCAATGGCCTCCTTGAAGCTCCTCCTCCATGTTTCTGGCTGGCAAGGCTGCAGGAAAGACAAAGGAGTTGTGAGAAAGTCTCCCTTCCTCCTGTGGCTGACTCCCTGTCCATGCTGGATGAACCCTGAAAATATGCAGAAGCAGGAAGACAAGTCCCAAAGTGTGTCTCCCTGCAGGAATCACAGGGACAACTGTATTTACTAAAACTACCCCAGTCCCACATTTCCATTGTGCTTCAGATCCTACAAAGTAACTCTGCAACCATTCTCACCACTGAACACAATCGGCAAACCCATGTCTGGGAGATCTGGTGATGAAAGTCTACTGGCTCAGTGGGACCTTTCATCTTGTTCCCTGCTGTGTCTTAGCACCAGCACAGTGCCTGCTGCATGGTAGCTGCCTTTTAAGTATTTGTTGACAGGACGAATGTGTCTCTGTAACTGAATAAACGGGACAGTGCTTCTGGGATTTCTCATTATCATCTCTAGGATGTGAATCCAGGGGAGTCTGCCTCCAAAACTGGCTACTTATGTAACAACGATGTTTCTTAATTTTTTAACCTTGACCCACAGTAAGGAAGACAAAATATATCATGACTATATGGTAACTAAACAAAAGCTTCACGAGCAATACTTACTCTTGCAACATAGTACTGGGATGTCTTCTAGTCTCTTTTATTCTACTTTGTTTAAAAAAATTATGGTCACTGCCTACTGAGTTATTTTCATGACCAATAATTTGCAAAACGTTACACCATAGGATTTTTTACACATTTGTATTCACTGTGTATTTTCCAAATAGCATACATCTGTGGAGTGCTTTCACTCCATGTCACGAAGCAGCACGATGACTTAACAATAACACAGGTCTGCAGTTCTTAAAACTCTGAGGCTAGACATGCTTTAAAATTTAGAAATTTTCAGATTTTAAAAAGGTGATGCAGAATATATACAGCATATTTCATTAAAATCCCAGTGTGGTGTGGAACACGCAGCATTTCCTAATTGAACACTTTAACATTCTTCTACAGAGAAAGATATAAATATTCATTCTAGAGTCATGCCCGTAATCCCAACATTTTGGGAGGCCTTAGTTTGAGACCAGCCTGGGCAACATAGTGAGACTCTGTCTCTACAAAAAAAACAGAAAAGTTAGCTGGGCATGGTAGCACGTGCCTGTTGTTTCAGCTACTCAGGAGACTGAGGCAGGAGGAGGTTGCTGTGAGCCAGGCTGATGCCACTGCACTCTAGCCCAGGCAACAAGACTGAGACCTTGTCTCAAACAAATAAACAAATAAATAAATATTCATTCTAGGTAGGCCATTAAAGGTTATAAATGCCCTGTAGCAGTTCAGGTCAGGTATGGATACCAAATTTATGAAAAAAAATTTGCTCTTCAGAGCTTTCTAGATTTTGTGACTGCAGATACGAGAATATGGTAAACCTATAATTGCTAACGTTTACTCAACGAGTTTCTCCACACAACAGAGTTAGTTAAGCCTTGACTTGTGAGACTAACCCAGGTGACAGATGTTCTAAAATGTGAAAAATTCTGATTCCCGACATGATCCTGGTGCCAAGGGTATCCGATAAGACCGAGGACGTGCACTCATGTCTCAGCGCCGTTGTGGAGGTCAGAAGAGAGAAAGCGCGTACAGCACGACGCCTGGCACACAGAAAGCGTTCAAATGCTGTAAATGTTAAAAATCTTCGGCCTTCTGAAGAACCCACTCATCATCCCAGATCCGCCCACTTCAGGCAACTCACCCCGCCTCCTTTAATAACAAAACCAATAATAAAATAAAGCAGAATCTCTACTCTCAGGACTGCCAGTGAGGACTGGAAACCCACTTTACCGGTTTTCATACCGGGGATGTGAACAAGGGTTCCAGCCTCCACTAAGACAACCACCGCTCAAGCCTACGCGCCCTCTGCCAAAGTCTCCGCATTAGTATTGTGTCACCCCGCCCAGGAAGAACCAAGCCCGAAAGCCTCCAGGGTCCTCAGCGACCCCAGCTCCAGCGTCTTCCTACCTCGAGGTTGTAGTCGAACGAGTTAACAGACGCGACCCAGCCGCGAAGGAGCCGTAGATCCAACTCCCTTCCCACGCGCCTCCTCCCAGCACCTTCCGGTGCCGCGCGATACACCGCAGAGGTACTCCACCCAGGATCCTCCGCGCCAGCGCCAGGACTATATTTCCCAGAGGGCTGTGCGGGCGACTTCACTTGCCTTCCCATAACCACCCGCTTCATCCTTAGAGACAGCGCTGGAGCGCTCTGGGTTAGGGAAATGGAGTAGAAACATAATCAGGACGAGGTTACTTCAGGGTTTTATAGTCCAACTTTTACCCTGTTAAAGGACCATCTACTCAGCCTTCTCCTGCCTTTCCTAGAATACTGGGAGGCTTTTCCATTTCTGAAGGGGACAACAGTCCGTTGCCATAGAAACACATGAAGACATTGGAGTCTTGAGAAGACGCGTAAAAGTAAGGGGCGGAGTTGAGGAGAGAGAAGTAATAAGTAACCTCTGATTGGTGGAGAGATGCCTTGCAATTCATTCCGATTGGATCTACATTGGCACATGCGCAATAGAACCATGAAGTGTTCCAAATAGGGGAATGGGGGGGTTGATGAGGAAATAATCCCTCCCTCTGTCCCTAGGCTGAGGACTGGTCTGCCGCGAAGGCGTCTGGGAAATGGAGTTCCCAGCTAGGTATAGCCCAGGGGCAGTAGGGAAGTCAGCGGCGCCTGCGCGAGCGAGTCCGGCCTTAGGGCCAGGATGCGCGCGCAGCGCGCTCCGCCCAGCGGAAGTTTCTGTGGGGTAACTGTGAAGGTAAGTCTTGGTAACTGCGGAGGATTGAAGGGTCTGGCTTCAGCAACTCCGCAGTCCACCCCTCTCCTCAAGTACAGGGGTGAGGCTAAGACGAGGCGAAGCAGTGGGGAGCCTCCCAGTGTGTAGCCACAGCTCGGCCGTGGTGCCTGTGACGTCAGTTCGACCCTTTATGGGAGGCGGAGGCCCGGCGGGCGGGGATCGGGACGAGAGCGGCTCCTGTTTGATGGGATCACCGCCAACCCTTGCGTGTCGTAAGGCACTTTTGGCTCTAGGCGCCGGGCTAGACTAGCGCTTACGGAGTTTGAAAGACGCCCCGCCTTGGCAGCTACGTCATACCTGGTTTCGGTAGAGGGCGAGGCCAAGGAGACTATCACCAAGGCAACCGCCCTGGCTGAGCTGGGGTGGGATCTAGCCCTTCTGCTGTGTTGTCTCCGGAACCCTCTGCGAGGAACACGATACAGTGTTTGACACATAGCAGATGTTCAGTAAATATTTGTCAAATAAGTAAAATAAGTGGACGAATGGGCGATAAAGACTGGCCTGAGGGTTGGAGCCTTGGGTTTCAGGTCCTGAACTGACCACGTGATCTTAGATTAGATGACTTAAGCATTCTGGAATGCCCTTCTTTCTTCTGTATTTATTGAACGTTTACAACATGTGAGGCTTTGTGCAACAGACACTGCTGTTTATTCTACGTTGGCGTGCCTACCCTGATAGGCAAAGTTCTAAGCTTAAAGCTATCTAAAACAAAAGTCCTGCCCAACAAGTTTACATTCTAATAGTTGTTGGAGATGCGATGCACTAACAAAGTAAAGTAAATTATACAGTATTTACAGGTTCACCATCCCTTATCTACAACTCTAAAGTCCGAAAACTTGTGAAAGCTGAAAGGTTTCTTTTGCAATTTGGTCGCCCAACCTGATTTGGCTTTGAACTTGTTTGCTGGCAACAACCAATCTGAACTGATAGGTGGCTATTTACAAGACCAGTGCTCTAACCCCTGAGCCATAGGGCCTGATATGTGGCTATTTATAATCTTTAAAGATTTTTCTTGATTATAGGAGGTTACCCCTAGATCCTGCTGGTGGTGTAGTATGTACTATTCTAAAATCTAAAAGTTTTCAAAATATTGGACTTCGAAACACACCTGGCACTAGGTGATTAGGATAAGGAATTGTAAATCTATTTTAGATGGCATTAAGTGCTAAGGAGAAAAACAGAGGAGAAGGGGGAGGGTTAGGGGATGCAATTTATAAAAGAGGTCAGGGAAGGACTCTTAGGCTGAGACCTGAAGAACAAAAAAGGAACCAGCCACAGAGAAAGTGGTGGGAAGAGCATTCCTGGCAAAGGGAACTGCCCATGCAAAGGTTCTGGAGCAGGAATAAACTGGCCTGAGGCCATGTGGCCAGAAATTAGTGGAACAGAATCATTAGAAGAGCTAATGTGTCAAATATACAATATGTGTCAGGAACCTTAAACTTCAAAATTCAAGAGGTAAGTTCTCTTCTCAGTTTAAAAATGGAGGAACAGGTACAGAAGCATTAAAAGAATTTTACTCAGCATCATCAAACAGGAAGTGGCAGAAGCAGGATTCAAACCCAGGCAGATTAGATTCCAAGTCCATGCTCTTAACCTCTACACTGCTCGGCTTCTAAGTGGCAGACCTTTCTTAAAGGTCATCCAGCTAAATAATTCTGGTCCTAAGCTTTGACTCTCTGGCTCACTATGTAGACTTGTTTGCAAGGTGAATATGTGGTAACACAACTGGAGACTCTCCTGCCTTCTTGGTACATTTCTTTCTGCAGAGGCGATAATCCTTTATTCACTCAGCAAACACAGATCAAGCATATGCTCTGTGCTCGGCCTATTCAAGGCTGTGTGCATACTGTGGTGAACCAGACAGATGGTCCCTGCCCTCGTGAAGCTTATGTTCTAGTTAGGGGAATCAGTGATAAACAAGTAAGTCAAAATATGTCACATGGTGATGAGTGCTATGAAGAAAAACAAAGCAGGGTAAGGAGGATAGAATGTGCTATTAATAAAATAGTTTCAAAGTAGGTCTCTCTGAGAAGGTGACATTTGAACAGAGACCTAAAGAAGATGATGAGGGAGTGATCCATGGGCACTCTGCGGGGAGAACATTCCAGGCGGACATGAGAACAGAATAAGTGCAAAGGTCCTGAGGCAGAAATGTTCTTCTCATATTTGGGGAAAAGCAAGGAATGTAGTGTGTCGGACTCAGAGCGAGCAAGGGGAGATGGTGGGAGAGGTCAGAGGGGGAACAGGGAACTGGTAGATCAGGTAGAGCCTTGTAGGCCATGGTAAGAGCTTTGGCCTTTACTCTGTCTGAAATGGAATCCACTGTATGGTTTTGAGCAGAGCAGTGACAGGGTCTGACTTAGATTTTAAATAGATCCCTCTAGATGCTGAATTGAGAATAGACCATAGGGGCAAGGGTAGAAGTAGGGAGTTTAGTTAGGAGGCTGCTGTAGTAGCACAAGGGAGAGATGGTGGCCTAGACCAGTGGTGGCCTAGACCAGGCTGGTGCCAGTATGTCAGAGTGGGGGCATACATGGCTGAAAACACCCACTGTCTCTCATGGCCAGATTCCACACTCAGCATCAACTTCCAGATTAAAATCTGCAACAATCTTCTGACCTGCAGCCCCAAGAAAACACTCCAGTTTTTCATTTCTATTTTATAAATTGGTACAAGGTTAAGAACATGGGCTTTAGAGTTCTGGATTTGAGTTCTGTCCCCACCGCATTCTACAGGAGTAGAGTCTGGTCTCGGGTAGGGAGTATTCTCACCCCTTTGAGCATCAGTTTGTAGATTTTAAAGATGGAATGATTATCCCTACCTCATAAGACTTGGGGGAAAGATTAAATAAAACAATGTATCTGGCTCTGCCACGTAAGAGCTGTGTGCCCTTGGGTAAGTCATTTTCCCTCTCTGAGCCTCTGCTTCCCTATCTCCCCAAAGGGGAGAGTCATTCTTGCATTGAAGGGTGATTGTGAAGATTCCATAGATAAGACATACCAGGAACTTAGCACAATGATCTGCATGCACTGAACTCTCATGAAATGGGAGCTGTTGTTAAGTGACTTAACCTCTCTGTGCTGCCGGGGATTCCCTGTTGCAGTTACTACCTCTGCAGAACAAATTATCCCAAAATTCAGTGGTGTAAAACAGCCACGTGTCCTGCTCATGGATTCATTGGGTTGGGGATTCAGAGAGAGTACAGCAGGGGTGGCTGATTTCTGCTTCATGACGTCTGGGGCCTCAGGAGGAAGACTCAGAGGCTGGGGTTTGAATTACCCACGGACGTGCTCACTCGTGTAACAGCAGCAGATGCTCACTGTCGGCTGGGGGCCTCACTTCCTCTCTTCTCTACTTGGGCCTCTCCATGTGGTGTCTCTCCCTGGGCTACTTTAGGCTGCCTCAAAGCATGGAAACTGGCTTCCACTGGTGAGCATCCTGAGCGAGCCAGCCAGGTGCACATTGCAGTCTTTTTATGACCTAGCCTCGGAAGTCTCATGGCATCTTCTGCTCGTCCTCCGTTGGCTGGAGCATCATAAGCTTCACCCAGGTCCAAAGGGGAGGGACCAGAGACCCTGCCTCTTGATGGGAGAGATTACAAAGTTTCCGTGAGCACACAGGACTAAAAATATTGCTGTGGCCCTCTTTGGAAAATGCAGATGCCACCCTGTCCTAAGAAATGATGATAATTCGGGAACCTACCTCTCGGGCTATTGTATAGACTAAATAAGGTAATACATAGAAAGCTCTCTGCCTGGAGGACTCCCCTCCCTCCCCAGATATCATGACTCACTCCCTTGTTTCCTTTGGGTCTCTGCTCAAATGTCTCCCCCTGGGTGAGGCCCTCCTTGGCCACCCCGTGTAAATAGTGACCCACCAACCACCTTGGCATCCGTTTTCTCCTGTGATACTTTATCGTTCTCCGTAGCACCATCTCCATGTGATCTGTTCAACAGTTACTTATTTGTTAGCTTATCTTCCCCCACCAGAGTGTAATCTTCCTGGGGTCAGGGGCTGTGTATGTTTCCTTTGCTGCTGTCTGCCCAGTGGCTGGCACAAACTACGAACTCAATAAATAATGAATGAATGAATGAATGGATTTAGCACATGCTGGCCACACAGCCAATGCTCAGTAGACACTAGCTGTTACCTTTCATTTATATGTGAAAGAGGCATGAGTTAGCTTCTCTACCTTTGTCACTTACAGGTCACTGTCAAGATGGAGTTTCCAGCCCAGTGAATCCAGGGACCAGACCGTGACCCCATAAAGGTACCACCCCCTTGGACACGTGCTCCTTAAGGCCTGTTCCCCACCAGCAGCTGGCGCCTGCTCAGCCCCTCCGTGTTGCTGCTAGCAGACGTCACTCTCGGGAGGAACTTTGTCGTGGGCATGGCAGGGCTCGCCTGGTTAGACACTTGTTCCATCCTGGAGACCATTTTTAACTGAGGGCACTTGGCACCTGGGGACATTCTGCTTAATGTGAAGCCACTTAAAACCACCGCAGATTTCCAAACAAACCTTTCGTTTACACCTAGCAGCATCTAGGTGTATTAGTCAGGCTAGGCTAGGCTATGTCGCAGTAACAAACAACCGCCAAATCTCAGTGGCTTAACACAAACTTGAGTTCTTTCTCACTAACACAAAGTCTAGACAACTCTCCAGGGCAGCCAGCCTCTAGGCAACTTTGATCTTTTGGCTCCTGTGTCTACACCTGGGCTTCAGGTTTGTCACCGCCTGAAGAGAGAAGGGAGAGGTGGCAGTGAGTCCTCTGGCTTAACAAAAATGCTCACCGGTATTTGTACCTTCGAGAAGGCAGAGGCGTCCATTTATGTGTTATTACCAAGACAACAGATCACAAAGACAACCAGTCAGACTTACAGACTTCCTGGAGGGTGAAGGGTACTCGACAACAGCCTTTGCAGTCCGGGGGTCCCGCACGGCTCCTTCGTGTGAAAGAAGAGAAGGGGCAGCTTTGTGCCACAGTGTGGCTTCACTCTTCCGCAGCCCCAGGGAAAAGAGAACCCTGTTCTCTTCCTCTGACTGAGATGTCTTTCACTAGCTGCTTGGATGGCCTGTGATTTTCAAGGGCAAGTGCTGGAATTCCGTAAGTCAGCACTTACAATGTGGAAAGAGGAAAGGGAAGACCAAATATATTAATAGCTGGAATTTTATAGTAACTGGGATACAGGGCACAATATAGTTACAGCAACCACTAACACAAAAGGCTTTCTGTGGGCCAGGCCCTTTGTTAGCACTTGACATAAATGTAAGCATTTAGGCATCAACAACCATTCCATCAGATAGGTACTGGGAGAAGCCCCATTTGACCACTGGTCACACTGAGGCACAGAGAAGTTAAGCAACTTGCCTAACACACAGCAGATCTGGAATTCAAATCCAGCAGCCTAGGACCAAACCTGTGACGTTAAGGACTCCACTGTTGGCAATTGCAACAAAGGCCAACCTTCACAGTGAATAAAGGAAAAGGGTTTGACCAGAACTTTCTCTTGCAAGGTAAAAGAAATTCAGCACGAAAATGAGCACGTGTTCATTTTAACTTCTATTTTGTTATTCTGTCTTTTTAAGTGCTACTGTGTATAGTAAGTCTTAGAATATAATAACAAATAAAATGTCCTTTTTTTGTTGCTGCTGTTTATAAGGTATTCATTTGGGGTGTTTATTGCACTGTCATCCTTGTTGATTTTCTCTTCCTCACTTAACTGGCCTAATGCTGCCATATCCTCATTTGTCATAGGCTCTGTGTATGATTTGGATTTTTTAAAAGTATTAGGAAATATTTCAGAGATACACAAAGTGTAGAGAATAATGTCTCACACCCCATTGGCCAAATCTAGTCACGTGTCCCAACCTAGCTGCAAAGGAGGCTGGGAATTGTAGGGGAGCATATGGATATTCGGGCAACATTGACTGTCTCTCTCATTCCCATGATGTGTTTTAAGAAGTGAACCTCACAAAAGAGTGGAGACACTGTGCCTCTTTGACACTTGTCCTGTGATTGGAGCAGTTCTCTGACAGTGCTTTCTCTGACCTCAAGGCACGCGGTTTCACTTTGTATTTGTTCTGCTTTGAGTCTGCCCTGGGCTGCTAGGATGGGACAGGTGGCTAGAGGCTCGATGCACTGGGCAAGACCTCTGAAGTACCCATTAGAAGTAGAGTATACTTCAGAGAGTATATTCAGGTGTGATAATTTTCTTCCCTTTGTAACCTCATCACTGTGGAGAACTCGGATGACTATTCACGGGTAGTGGATTAAGTTTTTCTTTCAGCTTCCTGTCCTCCCCACCCCCAATTCTGTTTTGTAGCATGATCTCCTTCTGTCCAGACTGTGGCAAAAGTATCAAAGCAACATTCAAATTCTGCCCCTACTGTGGAAAACTTTTACCTGCAGAGGAGTGTGCGGGGTCCCCGACCTTTGTCAAGCCACGTGTGTCATCCCTCCGAGGTAAGAACAGGGTTTTGAGCTTACCCCTGCATTAGGGGTGAGGTACACACATATGTTGGTAGGGGGACACCTTTGTCACCTGTCTGACCCTGTCCTATACTGGGGAAGCCCAGGCCTGGACTGCTCTATCTGCATTCAGTCCCTTGGCATCTTAATTGGTCTCATGGCTTTAAACGCTCTCTATACGTTGACAATTCTTGTATTCCTATCTCCAGCCTGGACTGCCCCCTGCTTGGAGGAGATTTGTGTATAGCAAGCTGCCTGCTTGACATCTGCAGGTTGAGTAGCCCTTATCCAAAATACTTGGGATCGCAAGTGTTTCAGAGTCCAGATTGTTTTGGATTTTGGAATATTTTCATTATTCTTATTGGTTGAGCATCCCAAATCTGAAAATTCAACATCTGGAATGCTCCAATGAGCATTTCCTATGAGTGTCATGTTGGCATCAAAACGTTTTAGATTTCGGAGTTTCAGATTTGGGATGTTCAACCTGATGGATGTCCCGTATGCATCTCAATCTGAACATGCCCAGGACTGAGCTATTGGTATTACAGCTGCCCCCATCTGCCTCCTTCCATGGACTTCCCCTTCAAAGTAAACGGCAACTCCATTTATCCAGCTTCTCAGGCCAGAACCTTGGGGTCATCCTTGAGTCCTCTATCTCTCCCACCTCACATACATCCAGCCCTTCAGCAAATGTTGCTGGCTGTCCCTATAAAATCAATGCAGTATCAGACCACTTCCTTCCAGCTCCCCTCCCACCTCCCTGGTCTATCCCGCCCTCACCTCTGGCTGGTATTGTTGCAGTCTTCTTCATGTGGCAGCAGAGGGGATCCTCTTAATATGGAGTCAGAGCCTGTCATTCCTCTGCTCACACCTTCCCATGCGAAGCCCCACACGACTGGGTCCCCATTTCCTCTCAGACCTCACCTCCTAACCCCCCTGCTGTTGGCGTATGCTGTTCCAGCTGCACTGGCCTCTCCACTCTTCCTCAATACCTCAGGCACACATGGGTCTCTGAGCCTTTGCACTTGGTTTCACGCACCCAAATATGTTGGATAAAATATAAAAAATATATCTTTTTTTTTTTTTTTTTGAGACAGAGTCTCGCTTTGTTGCCCGGGCTAGAGTGAGTGCCGTGGCGTCAGCCTAGCTAACAGCAACCTCAAACTCCTGGGCTCAAGCAATCCTTCTGCCTCAGCCTCCTGAGTAGCTGGGACTACAGGCATGTGCCACCATGCCCGGCTAATTTTTTCTATATATATATATATTTTTAGTTGTCCAGATCATTTCTTTCTATTTTTTAGTAGAGACGGGGTCTCGCTCTTGCTCAGGCTGGTCTCGAACTCCTGACCTCGAGCGATCCACCCACCTCGGCCTCCCAGAGTGCTAGGATTACAGGCATGAGCCACCGCGCCTAGCCTAAAAAAAATATCTTTTAAATATAGGGCTGGGTGGTAGGAAAGTAAGGGAATTCCATGGAAGTGAGAAACTAAAAAAACACAAATCCACAGGGCTAAGCTAGCGTTGTAGATGTTATTTGTCCTGGGGCTATTTGATGGTGGCCTCGAGCCCAGGTTTCACGGGGGTACAGGAGGCAAAGCTCAGGGCGTGAGCAGTGCAGGAGGTGAGATTGGAAATGCACCTCTTAAATCCAGGATGCCTCAGTGGGTAAACGAGAATAAAACAATTGCTCCACAGAGAAAATTGGTGGAGACATTTGTTGGTCTCAGCCTTGGTGGTGGGTGAAAAAAGGAAGAATGTCTTCTCTGAATATTCCTAACCAAGCACTCACATTCTCACCATTGTGGGGCCAGAATTCATACTGATCTGTGTAGCCTCCCAAAAATGCGAGCTGAACATTTAATTAAAGTGGTGAGATACGGGCACCACCCCCCATCCCACATAAACAAATTTTCTCTTGGAAAACACCCTTTAAAGACAGATCTCAGAGAATTCTCACATCCAAGGAACGTGAGTCCCAGTCTTTGTTGACTTAAAAAGAAAGACACCAGGAAATAAGCCATCATGAGAGTCAACAGAAACAGCAAACTACAGAATCAGAACTGCAAAGACCACAGACCCTAGAAGTAACAGATGAGAATATTTACAACGTAAATTGAATATGTTTAAAGAAATAAAAGAATAAATTGAAAGTATAGTGGAGGAACAAGAGTTAGAATTGACCAGGCAGATTTGAGGAGGAACCAAGTAAAACCTATAATGATAAGAATATATATATCATCTTTGCAATTGGAAACTCAATGGATAGGCTGGGCACAGTGGCTCATTCCTGTAATCCCAGCACTTTGGGAGGCTGAGGCAGAAGGATCACTTGAGGATAAGAGTTTGAGACCAGCCTGGGCAATATAGTGAGACCCTGTATCTACAAAAAATAAGAAAAATTAGCCAGGCATGGTGGTGCATGCCTGTAGTCCCAGCTACTCAATAGGCTGAGGCTGGAGGATCTCTTGAGCCCAGGAGTTCAAGGCTGCAGTGAGCTATGATCAGGCCACTGTACTCCAGCCTGGACAATAGAGTAAGACCCTATCTCTAGGGAAAAAAAAAAAGCAATGGATGGTTTAAATGACAGACTAGACATAGCTGAGGGGAGAATTAGTGAACTGGAAGATAGATTTGAAGAAATTACCCAGAAGAGAGCACAAAGTGTTGGAAGATTTAAAAGAAGGGCTAAGAGCTATGGAAGAAAGAATAACTAAAAGAAAGGAACAGTTTGCTTAGATATTTAGGTGATCGAAGAAGCAAGAATTGGCTTTAAAGGCCAAAGGGAAGAGTGTAGCTGAATATGACCTCAGAGTTTCTGGTTTGGTGGTACCTGGAAAGGGCCATTGTAACTCCAGTCTGCATTTGGTCTGCCTTTCTGCAGGCTCCAGGAGAGAGCTGAACTGCAGTTCTGAAATTTCTCCCAAGAGAGTGAAATGGTCTAGCACTGTCACCCCTCCCCAATTATCCCTCTTCTCAGATGGTGACAGTTCTGGGTCTGAAGATACCTCAAGTCCTTCTGGGAGATCCAAAGGTAAGAGTTAAGGTTGTGTGCTGGCCTGACTGTAGATGGAACAAAGGCGGGTCATCTGACGAAGTTTGGGACGGAGCTGCCACAGCCCCAGCTCAAACCTCATCCACCCCTGCCCGGACCCTCATCCCGGCATCGTCCCCGGCTCCCAGTCTCTCCCTCCAGCCCATCTCTCAGTGGCCCCAGAGAGGTCTCTCTGAACCTAGGGCTGCCCTGGCCCCTCCCTGCTCACAGCCCCCTGTTGCTTGCATCGCCCACAGTCCAAGCTCCTTAGCCTGGCATCTGTATGGTCTGGTTCCTGCTTTAGCTCTCACCACAACCCTATGCACAGAAAACTCATTTTTGGAGATTTTTAGGCTCTGGTCTTTGCGAAGTCCGTTCCCTTGGCCGGCATACTGCCGCTTCCCCCACACCCAGAGGGCCTGATCTCCGAGAAGCGTTTCCTGAACATCGTAGCCTCACGCCAAGGCCTCCATACTGCCAGGGCCTCTCTCCAGCCTCTTTATCTAGCACCCGCAGTGCTGCGGCCTTCATTTGAGCACGTGTCACTAGGCTCCATGTCCCTTTTGGCCTCACTTTCTGGACTGAGAGTCCTTTGTGGATGGGGTCCTAGCCAGTGCCCAGGACATGGGAGGCTTGAGGACTGTGTGCTTGTCTCCTGCCTACTGGGCCCCTAGATCTGAAGTCACAGCCTGTGGGGCCTCCCCTTTGTCCAGCCCCCAAGTCCTGTTGCCATTATGTGTCTCGCAGGGATGGCGGGTAGGAGGAACGAGGTAGGGGCTGCTGTCTTTTCCTGTGTCTATGTCTGTCTCTGCCACACCCACCCCACTCTCTTGCCAGTCTGGGAGCCCTGCGAGGGCAAGGCTTCAGTCTAAAAAATTTCTGGTCCCTCTTTAATCTCAGCACAGGGCCAAGTCCTATTTTGGCGTAAATGTCTGGAATACACCTTTTCCCCTGGCAAACTCCTACTCATCCACCAAGACCCAACACCAATGTGCCCTCCTCCAGGAAGCCTCCCAGACTTCTCCAGGCACAATGTTTTTTTCTTCTGGTCCTTTTATCCCTTGGTACTGCCTTGTCTCAGACTGATGGTGTTTAGGTCAGACTTCCCCACCAAATTGGTGGCTTCCAAGGGAAGGGACCAGGACTGACTCATGTCTGGCTCTCCAGCTTCATCACACGGGGAACCTGACCCATAAAAGGTCCCAGGAAGTGTTTGTTGAATGAACAAATAAAGGAACAGTATTATGAGTGTTATTTCATTCTCCATCCAGCTTTTCTTTCCTGGATGCCGCTTTTGCTTTATTCTGACCATCTTCCTACAGGGTCGTGGAGCAGGCCCCCAACGCCCAAGTGCAGCCCGCAGCCGACCAGGCGAAGCCCTCAGACACTCAAGCGGAGCCGGGTGACCACCTCACTTGAGGCTTTGCCCGCAGGAACGGTGCTGACAGACAAGAGTGGGCGGCAGTGGAAGCTGGGATCCCTCCAGACCAGGGACGACCAGGGCATTCTCTATGAAGGTACGCCCTGCCCACGAACGGGCGGGTGCTGGGCCAGGCTGGGCCGTTGCAGCACCGGGACAGGGGGAGGGGGACCCCTTTCTGAGAATGGGAATGGAAGCCATATCCCTAGCTGCAGACCTGCCTCTAGGCAGCTCTCCCTGAGACCCAGGGCTGTAAACCTCCCTGCCACGGGGCCTGGCAAGTGGCGGAAATGAGTGCAGGAGGCCGGAGGACGGCAGCTGGAAGTGGTGGGACCGCAGCCGTGGGAAAGCCTGTGCCCTGCGCAGTGTGCTCCTCCTCGCCTCACCTGCTGTCACGTGGGGGTGCAGGCCCGGTGGCCAGGTGATCAGGACGATTGATGAGCCTACAGAGACAGGATGGACCCTCACCCAAAATTTGGTTCAGATGTTGAGACTAATGATGTTCCACACACACCGAGAGCATGTGAGAGGTTTATTCCTTACATAACTGGGGTCTCTGCAGAGAGCAAGCAGGCCTGCCACGTGGGTCGGAAATGCCTCGAGAGAGGGAGGGGAGGAGGCTGGGGTGAGGTTTCCTGTACTCCGCCAACGCCTCCCGTGGTTTGAGTCTTCTGCCAGCACCAAAGGCTTTCTTATCAGCTTGCCCAGGTGGGATGGCTGCGGAGGGGCAGGGGCGAGGCTTAAAAGCTGTGAATAGTGAAACCTCAAACGGTGGGGTCAGATTCTTTATTACAATGAGGGAAATAACAACTGTGGTGTTAGTATTAGTATTAATAATGCCTAATGTTTATTGAGTGTTTATGCAAGGCCAGGCTCTGTTCTAAGCACTTTATATGGGGTGTTTTTTACACTTTTTTAATTGAGATAAAATTCATAAACAGAAAATTCACTCTTTTAAAGAGTAAAGTTGAGTGGTGCTTGGTATAGTCACAGCGTTGTGCAGCCATCACCACTGTCTGATTCCAGAACGTTCCCATCACTCCAGAGAGAAACCCGACGCCTTTGAGCAGTCACTTGGCGTTTCCCTCTCCTCCCGTCCACCAGCAACCGCTAATCCCCTTGCCGTCTCTACGGATTTGCCTATTTTGGACATTTCGCATAACAGAATCATATGATATGTGGTCTTTTGTGTCTGGCTTCTCCCACTCGGTGTCACGTGTGCAGGGTCCGTCCACGTTGTAGCACGTGTCAGTGCCTCACTCCTCGGAGCTGAACGATGTTCCATCGCGTGGGTGGACCCCACGTGGCTTATCCATTCCTCACTTGACGGGCATTTGGGTGTTGGGCTATTATGGGTAATGCTGCTGTGAATATTTGTGTGCAGGTTTTTAGATGGGCACTTGTTTGCTTTATTCTTCTTAACTCACGGAATTCTCACAAGAGCCTTAGGACATCAGTACTTCCATTATCCCCATTTTATAGATGAGGAAAATGGATTCCAGAGATATTAATACCTCACCAGGCTTTGGGCTCCAGAGATCTTTCAAGTTGTCAGGGAAAACCAGAAACCTAGGTTTTGATAGGAAACCTTTGATTGGGGTGTGCTCGCTGGCCGGACAGGCATGCAGGCCATTTCGAGCCTCCCATTGGCTAGCTCTGCCTTCAAGTCTGGGGAGGGGCAAGGCAGCATGTTTGGGACAGCCCGAGCTGAGTCCTGGCTTGGCTCTGACATGCTGAGCGAGCCCAGGCAAGCAGCTCGAGCACTCTGTGCCTCGATGTCCCCCACTGGAAAAGTAAGAGGTGATGGCCCATACGCCTGTCTCCTGAGCCTGTTGGCTCCAAACGATGACAGGATGGAGGCAAAGCGTTTGGAAAACTGTAAAGGGACCTTCCCAGGCCGAGATAGGCAGTGTTAATCACGGAGGGACAGAGGGCGAGGCACGGAAAGGTCGGGGAGAGAGGAGAGAGCATGGAGGAGCGTGACAAGAGAGGGGCGTGAGCTAACGCTTCGGGAGCACTCCATGCGGGCACCGTTTGGAGCTCTCCATGTGGTAACCCACGTGATGCCCCCAGCTGTGTTGTGAGAGAGGCACCCTTATTACCATCTTACAACTGGGGCACAGAGAGGGGAAGCCACTTGCCGAAGGGCACACAGCCTGCAAGTGGCAGAGCTGGGATTTGAACCAAGGCAGTCTGGCTTTTCCTAAGAAAGGAAGAGAGAGAAGGAATGACAGTGGGAAGGAATGATAGGCAGAGAAGGATAGAGGGAGGAAAAAGAGGGAGAGGGATGAAAACCAACAGCGAGAAAGAGGTGGAGGTGAGAGAGCAGGG